TTGTGGGGTGCGGTTAAGTTGAATTAAAATTTTCTAGATTATGTAATTCATACATTATTCACGGTATGATAGGTTCATTGAGATGTAAAAACATCTCAAAAAGGTGTGGACAGGGTACGCGTGCTCCAGCAGGTGGTAATGGGGGAAGGTGACGCATTGGACTTCCAGTCCACTAGCAAGCTGAATAAGGCTGAGATACATTATCTAAACTGGCAAAAAACCAGCTTATTATAAAAAATTTGAGTGCATTAGACATGAATAAGTTTAGGTAGCAAAAGATATATATATACACACACACACACATTTTGTCAAGTGATTTTGTCAAGTGAATAAAGGAGAGCTCGATATTCAATTTAACTCGACAATTAAAAAAGAGATTTAAGCAAATCAATTTAAAATTAAATCGACCATAGTTAATACACTAAGTCAATACATCACTACAACAAAACTATACACCCCACTCACATTGACACAATCCAAGAACTCCCATAAAAAACAATGTGAGGGCTTTTGCAAAAACATGGGTAAATACAAGAAAATAGCAAAACTAAATATCAGACCCTAGACTTCATTCATACAGATTGCCTCAAGAGTCCACTGTTGAGAAGATGGAGAGGATACGAAGACGACAAGGAAGTCGAGGTGTTCCACAACTCAAGATCAGTCTCAAGGTCGAGGTTGATGGCGAGGGGTACAAAGGACTTGGAGGAGTACATACTGCATCTCTGCGTAGTGGGTCCACCACTCCCGTTTATCTATTCGGAGGACGAGGGTGAAGCCATTGGAATATCAAGAGAACAATAGCTCGTATAAAGATGTTAAAAAGAAAAAAGAATAACATCACTAAATTGCCCATTCTAAAGAAGGAAAACAAGCAAGCCAAAAAAAAAAAAGAATCGAAGAAGTAAAGAGAAGAATGCACTTACTTGCAATGAAGGGTCCTCACTTTTTTAAAGAATGTGTAGAGATGAATGTGATCATATCTTCTAAAATATTTTATTATGATGGACAAGTGCATTCTCATTATGTCCAATGCACTGATCTGCAAACTTAGTCTACACTTGCATCTATTATGAATTGATAAGTAAAAACATGATAAGACGACTTTGTGTTTTACATCATTCCCCAAAGCAACTAAAGACTATTTGGCGGTTCTCTCATCATTTTTAAAGCAAATTTTCCTTTACTTGCAACTTTCAAGTGACGTGTAATGAAATGTTTTAATAGGTCTTACTATTTGTTGTAAGAGCTCATATTCTAGAACCATTACTATTACTGGAGGTGTAACATCCTTGGTAGTCAAATCTCTCTTGAAGAGACGGTGGATTAGTAATAAGGATAATTTATGGGTTATTATTTAGAAGTTGACGGATATGCATAATTCAAACTATATTGTGTTTTATCGTTGTGAATAATAGTACAGTTGTAGATATTTATACGATTCTTACATTGTACCTTTATTGGTGAATCAGTAAGAGTCATAGTAAGAATAACATAATAATGTGGAGTATTACATATTAAAAAGGAGTAGCTTTTTGACTACTAATGCATAAAAATTGTAGATATATGTCCACGAGTAAAAGGGTGCTTAGAGAAAGGCAGTCAAATTAAAGTGAAAATAGCTATTTTCATAAAATAATAAACAAATTAAAGTAAAATATATATAATTTGAGAAGTCTTGACAAATTAGAAAAAATATAGATAAACTTAGAGAAAGATAGAGAAAGTGAAGTAAAAGACAGTTCTCAAAAAGGAAGGGAAGGCTTATGGGAAGGGGAGTGATCTTGGGGAGAAACACAAGCTAAGACTTTTGTTCCTTGAGTGACCAATTTGAAAGGCCTTGTAGGATTTGAAAGGCTTGTTAATTTCAAAATTTTGACAGAATAACAGTTGTGTCAGTTGACGATTTGAAGAACTAATATCTAAATGACCCATTTTAGAAAGGGCATTTTGGTCACTTCAACATTAATGGGTATCAATGTTAGATGAGTGTTAAGAAACTATAATTCAAGGGGTTGTTAAGTCAGACCATAATTTTTTAAGGAAGGTTAAGTCTAATAAAAATTTTCTGGGTTAAGTAGTTCACACATCATTCACATTGGAAATCCACTCCCTGAGCAAGCTTAATAAAGCTAAGATACATCATTCACATTGGTGAAAAACTAGCCTAATTCTCCAAAATTTGAGTGCATTAGACACGAATAAGTACAGGTAGCAAAAGTGCTATGCATACATTGTCAACCAAATAAAAAGGAGAGCTCGATAATTAATCTAACCCCACAACTAAAAAGAAATTTAAACAAGGCAATTTAATAATATATTAACTATAGTTAATACACTATCAGAACAAAAATTATACACCCTACCTACATTAATACAACTTGAGAGCTTTTACAAAAACAACACACGAGAGCTGTCCAAAGATGTAAACCACCAGTAGGCCTAAAATCTACAATTAAAATTTTTCCGCCATACTAGGAGAAGAGGGTGGTGGGTGGGAGTAATGTATTCACACTAAAAGATCGACAGATCCACAATTTACAAAACCAACTATAGTATCCAATGGGAAGACACTTGGTACAAAAGGGGCTAATCTAATTTTTTGCTAACCTATTTAGGTTATTAGATAGATTGAAGTGGCAATTTTTAAAATTCATAGGGGGCAATTGTAAATATTATAATGATTTTGTATGAAATTTACAAATTTACCATGAACCTAAATCCGCCCTTGCGCGAAAGCACGAGTAAATACAACAAAATAGAGAAGCAAAATATTGGACCATAACCACACACTATGATCACACAAGCTAAATTGCAATGTTAAACCCGTACATGGTAGGCACTGGAGTCTAAAGTCAAGGAAATGGAGAGGATGAAGAAGATGATGAGTAATTGAAGTGCTCTGTAGCTCAAGATTAGTCTCAGAAGCTGAGGATGATGCCGACTGTTACAAGGAACTCACAGGAGCACATACTCCATCTCGGTGTAGTGTGTCCACCACATCCATTTGCCTATCTAGAGAATAAAGATGAATCCACCGGAATATCAATGAAATAATTGCCCCTACATAGATGAAAAAAAAACCCAAAAAAAGATGCATTGCCACATTGCCCATTTTAGGGAAGCAAGCAAGCAAAAGGGGGAAAAACGAAGCAAGTAAAGAGAAGAATGTACTTACTTGCAATGAAGCGTTCCTCCCTTATTAAAAGAAAGTGGAGAGTTGAATGAGATCAAGTGAAATGACCCATATAGTTTAAGCCATTTTATTAAGACGGAGGAGCGCTATCTCATGGTGTCTAATGTACTGCTCTACATACTTAGCCTACTATTGCATTTATTATGAGTTGACAAGTAAGAACATGACAAGACAAATTTGTTTGTGTTTTACATCATTCCCCAAAGCAACTGAAGACTATTTGTTGGTGCTCTAATCATTTCCCAAAGCAATTCTTCCTGTACTTACAATTTTCAAGTGGAGGGTAATGAATTTTTTTTTTTAGAAGACTTACCATTTGTTGGAAGTGTTCGTGTTCTAGGACCTTTAGTGTTACTGGCAATGTTATATGCGTGGGCAGCCGAATGACCTCCCCTGAAGAGACATGGGATAAGTAATGAGGCTAATTAATAGATTGTAAAAATCATATTTTGAAGTTGACTGATGTGCATAATTGAAAACTATTTTACATTTAATTCTAGTGAATAATATTACAGGTACAACTATTAGTACATTTCCTATATTTTGCAATTGTTGGTAGATGAATAAGAGTCATAGCAAGGATAACATAATAATGCAGAATATAACATTAAAAAAGAGTAGCGTGGTGACTGCTAATGCAGAAATTGTCGTAGATATATGACCAAAATTAGAAAGTGGTTCAGAGAAAGGCAACCAAAGTTAAGCGAAAGGTAGATATTTCCATCATATTAAAGATAACATGATAATGTAGAGTATAACATATTACAAAAGAGTAGCATGGGGATCGCTAATGCCCAAAAAAAAAGAGAGAAAAAGTCTAAGTGAAGTGAAAGGTAGCTCACTCTTGGGGGTTTGGAGGATTCCCTATTATTTTATTCGTTACAGGGACTTATGGATTTTAGATTTTGCATGAACTGATGATCCTTGTCAACATTAAAGTAGAAAGCTTATGTTTTTATTGTTTGTTTGCACAGGGAGGTTTTGAAATGAGGAAAAATATTCCTGAATTAATGCCATTAATCGTTGAGGCTCTCTTGGATGCTGCTGCCGTCATGAAAAGGGAAATAGCTGTGGCAACTCTTGGTCAAGTGGTACAAAGCACAGGGTACAATATGCTCTTTCAATTGTCGCTTTATCGATCTTGACATAATGTTAATTGCTATATGTTTCTTTTGAGGGTGGTTAGGTTACAAATATAATAAGAAACATAACTTTTGGATTATAAGCTCACTCACTAAAAACTGAAGCACTGATGGGACTTGTTGTAAACCAGGATTTACAGAGTATCGTAAATCATAACAAGGCATATTACTGTGTTTAAAGCAGGATAGGACTTGTTAGCTCAAGATAAAGGTTCTTAACGGTTAATAAGAAGCTGTTTCCACTGGTTCAAGTCGTGGAAGTAGCCTCTTGTAACAAAATACAAGGTAATCAAAGTGGTTCGACCCCTTCCCGTACCTAGTGCATAGCAGGGGCTTCGTGCAACGGCCTGCCCTTACCCTTTATATTGACAATATCAAATAATTTTATATATTGCTGCATGATTCATTTTGTTTGGTCGTCGATGAAGTGTAATAACTTTTGACAAGTTGAGCATCTTATTGACTATTAAGAACCGTTATGTTGGTTTGCTTTAAACACAATGGTATGGCTTGTTATGATTTATGGTACTTCGTAAATCTTGGTTTGTGACAAGTCTTATTAATGTTTTAAGTTTTTGGTGAGTGGATTTATTATCCAGTAAACTTTTTATTATATTTGTAACCTGACCACTCTCAATTAGGTTAATCTTTGCTTTTCTCAATTTGTTTACGGTTCTTCAACCATCGTAGATGCAGTGTTTTTCATTTAGACACTTGGTGTAGGGAGTCTGTGATAGACAAGCTATACCATTGCATGATGTGTCTAAGAAAGTTAGCATGAAATATAACAAAGATAAGAAATTTGAATGAGAGAAGATAACTGACAATAAGTTTTCATGTCGTCTTTTAAAGCTCTAAATTCATTTTCTTTTCTTCATCTTCAGCTATGTTATTGCTCCCTATAATGAGTACCCACTGTTACTTGGTTTACTCTTAAAATTGTTGAATGGCGAGTCAGCATGGTCTACTAGACGAGAAGTGTTGAAGGTATTTTCTTGTGATTTGTAACGTTCGTAAACGTATGAGTTTTTGGATCAGCATTTATGATCTGTCCTGCAGGTTCTAGGTATCATGGGTGCCTTAGATCCCCATGTACACAAGCGTAATCAGCAGAACTTGCCTGGATCACATGGGGAAGTTAACCGTCCAGCAAGTGACACGGGTCAACATATTGTTTCAATGGAAGAGTTACCTACAGAACTCTGGCCATCTTTTGCAACCTCTGAGGATTATTATTCCACAGTAAGTTTTAAAATTTGAAATTTTGACTGTTGTATTCTGTATAACACTATAAGTACTGGAACTTGTCTGACATCAATAGTACAATGAATAGGTTGCTATTAGTTCTCTCATGCGAATTCTTCGTGACCCATCACTTTCAAGTTATCACCAGAAGGTGGTAGGTTCTCTTATGTTCATATTCAAGGTATGCTTTGAAAGACTGTTTAGTTCTTTCTCACTGGTTTTTGGATAATTTTTTTTAATCAATCTCTAACTTATATTTATTTTACTCAAAACAAGTCGATGGGCCTTGGCTGTGTTCCGTACTTACCAAAGGTGAGTTACTTGAGTTATCCCTTTATATTTTCCATGTATAATTTTTGTTCTTTATTTATTTTAAATTATGTAAAAATTAAAAACGCACATGGCACACATACCTATATGCATTGTTTAGGTCTTTTAGCGATCGTTCAAAATAAGAAAATTGTCTTGCAGTGGAACAGTGTTAATACTTTTTACTTTAGCAATTGTTCTGTAATGACCATTTTGTCACTTGGCATCTTGTGTGTTGGCATTTTGGATGAGTTGTATATCAATTCAGATGGCTGACTTTGTTCCTTCTACTGTTATCAATATTCTTATTCGAAATTCAAACTAGAAGAAGTTGGCTATTCTAGGTGCGACTAGTAGTTGTGTACTATACACCAGACTAGAAAGGAATATGTATTGATATTGGAGCAATGGGTAATATGAACTTACCTTATATTTGTGGCCTCTTATGTTTTTATTGTGAGAAATTTGAATGTTGATGAAAGAGTGCAATGGAGTGGGAGTTCTGTATTTCTGTTTTATATTTGTTTTGACTGCAGGACTATCTACAAGACTTTGTAGGCTGTTAATACTTTTGAGATACCTCTATTTGGGCATCACCCCTAGTCTGTAATAGCTGTACCTAATTAAGTTAGTAATTGCAACATAAATTATTGATGTGGATGACATTGAAACGTTTCAGTGATTTTTGGTATATTCTTGTGCTGGCGCACCTGCTCTTATCCAGGGATTTGATGAATCCATTTGGCTGTCTTCCCATTGTATAGCATATTATTCTACATAATCAACTCTTCATTCAGTTGTCTTTCTAATAATAGTCTGAAGAAGGGCCATTTTAAATATTCTCCTTACGAGACGTGATAAATGAACATACGACAGGTGAAAATGCATACATGATTATGATATGTTTCTCAAGTCTGTTTATTGATGAATAAGAACTTGGGATGCATTTACAACAAAACTTCAATTAGGGAGATGATAAATCTTTCCTCCCGTGAAGAAATTGCCATGTTCCTTTTCTCCTATTTACTGTGGTTATTTTGTGATGAACAGTACAGCCTTTGGACCTTTGGTAAAGAATTGAATAGGTACATAACTTGCCCACACACACACACACATGATTCCTCTTATCTGTCTGTTATTAGATCTTCGGGTACAGTTACTGCAATATTCTTTAATGCTAAATGTGATTTTGTCGTTATTCAAATGCTTTGTTTTTTGTCTCTCCAGGTGCTACCTGATCTTTTCCATGCTGTTCGAACATGTGAAGATGGTCTGAAAGAGTTCATTACTTGGAAGCTAGGAACTTTAGTGTCCATTGTGCGCCAGGTTCATTTTAGTGATCTTAAGCTAATGTTTCTGGTCCTTAATGTAGTTCTGTTTATTCCTTTCATGACGATAGTTAATGTAATGCCCTGTGTATTTGTGCAGCACATGCGTAAATATTTACCTGATTTGCTCTCTTTAATATCTGAACTCTGGTCGTCATCCTTCAGCTTGCCAACGACAAACCGTCCGGTGCAAGGCTCACCGGTAAGTTTAGTTCTTTGCAGCTTGATTTTCTGGGGTTTGTTTTGTTTGGCAATTTCACATATTTGTCCATGTGTAAGAGTCTTACCATGCATTAGCTTATGAACCTTTGTAAGCTGAAGGATGCCAATTTAGCTATATCATAACAAACTTGTAGGGATTGTCTACATGTTGAAATGTCATATAGAAAGCCTTTTCATATTTCTTTAATGTTCTTGTGATTTTCTTTCCTTTTTCTGAATAAATTAGAGAAAGTTATACAAAATTTATGCCCTATAGTCGTCAAACAAGGAAACTAGCACATAATTTCAAATGTTCAATTTGTAAATCTGTCCATTTCCTCCAAATTCCATGTGTGATAATATACACTGATGTTTGGAAGCTTATTTCCATTATGTAGAGGAATGTCGAAGAAATGAGTTCTGATCCATTTCCCTCCTAATCGGTAATCTATGCTTTCGAGTCATGTTTTGTGATTTGCCATTGTCATCTATATTCTTATCAACACTTTGTTCTGACAGATCTGTGTTCCTTTCCTGTTCGCCTTTTATATAATCCCTGTATTAAACTTCCAAGAGAATTATCTTTTTCATGAAGATTTAACATTAAAATGAATCCAATAAGATATTGGTTTCTGGGACTTCCTGGCTATACTATTGTAGTCATTTATATATTTACTAGTTAGAAGGCACGTGCTTTGCATGCGCTTGTCCGTTAGTTGTATAATTTGAGGTTTTTCTAGAATTTATAAGGTGTTATCTGACAATCTTTCAAAGTTAAGGGGTTTTTTCCTCCAAAATTTATCCCTCAACAGACATGATGTTCTATTACTAAATCACAATTTTGTGGTAAGATGTAACGAAAGCATACTCTCACTCACTAAACAGGAAGTTTAAATTGAAGATACAAAACAATCCTTGAGTCCCTTCTTTAACTACAAATTATAAGAAAATAGAACTACAAAACCACCTAAAAATAGTTTTAGTCGTTGGGGATTGGGGCCTTGGTTCAAAGAGCTAGCCACTGGTTGATCCATGTCTATGGCATGTCTATCATCAATTTCTAATTATTAGGCACTGCAATACTTGTACTATTTTTCTGGTCACTTTAATTAAAGCAACTACCAAAGTTCAGTAAATAACCAAAATTAATAGCATCGTGATCTGAATGGCGAATCATGTTCTGTTGATGAGAATGTACATGAATTGTGGCAATAGACTGTAAAAGCAGGTTATCTACCCTTTTTTTGGGTACCGGCCTTAAAGAGAGGAGAGTATGGGTGCGAAAAATAGAATATGGTTACGGATATGCATATGTATGAATATATACCAAATATCCAAATATATGTTGGTCTTATTAGTAGCAATACTTTTAATCTTTGGATAAATAAATTTGAGGTTAATTTTGATGATCAAGAGATCAAATCTTGGCTTTTCAAATATAACAAACATATTGGTGAACTCGCTTGTATCATATGAACTATATTTTTTCAATATTATTTAGTTTTTTCATATCCATCTTGTATCTGCATGTACATCCTCTTATACATTAGCATGTATATCCATATCCGTAACCTATTTTAGGGGATATAGATATGCATTTTTCATATACTGAGACATTTGTATCTGTATCCATATTCGTAATTGGTAAATTGATATGAATATGATAGGTGTCAAATCCGGTAGTCTTTGAATCGTTTGTGCCCCTGGAGGACAGAACATTAAAATTTGTTTTGAGGGGCAAAAGTGTCCTGGCAATTTATTCTGCAAAACCAAAAGCAAACAAAAGTCCACAGCGATATATTAGGAATCCAGTTTAACCAAATTAAGTATTAGGAGGTTTTTGATATTAGTCCCTTAAATCTTCTATAATTTGAAATCTATCTGACAAAATATTAAAATTAATATCAGATCCCTCAAATCTTAAGCTACTTTGAATTTAGTCTCTCAAATCATTCAAATTGCAAATAGCTCCTCGAATTCTTAGGTTATTTTCAAATTAATCACTCTTCAAGATGAGAAGTGGCAATGGGAAGGCTTACCAAGTAAAATTCAGTCCTATGGCTATCACGTCCCACAATTCTCATAAGTTTTTAAAATTAACCCCTCCTAAGGCTATTTTTTGTCTTGATTAGAGGGACTAATTTGGAAATAGCATTAGAATTAGGGGATATAAAATAGATTCATATTTGTAGGGCCCAGAAGCAATTTCAATGAATTTAGGGACTAAAATTCAAAATAGATTCATATTTGAAGGACCTAAATTAAGTACCTAGAAGCAATTTCAATGATTTGAGGGATTAATCTCCACAAAATATAAAAGGTTGAAGGTACTAATATAAAAAACCCTTAAGTATAATAGTGAGGGGTAATTTTGTCCAAGAAAATTTTGCAAATAGAAGTAGCACCTAGGGCTTTTTTATATACAATGATATATTAACATATGTAGAATGTTGGAATTTTTGTGGTTAAAGGACACTAAATAGCAACGGATTGATGAAGTTTCTTATGCTTGAATGGTACTTCATATTTATGTTTCTTGTACTTTCCCCTAAATATTAAGATGTAATTCTTTGTATGCATGTTGTAAGATTTGCAAATACTATGAAATTATTGTATATCAAGTTTTTCTCTGTCTATGAGCCAATCATTATCACTTTATGTGGGTAGCTTTTGCTTATGTGCATGTCACTTAAATATAACATAGGTTTATGCAAATAGCACCTTGTCTTGTACATTACTTTGAAAATCAAACTAAAGCTCTGGTTAAGAGTGATTTTAGTTTTATCCACTCTAGGGTACCTTAGACTGGTTTCTGGCTTTTGTACATTCTATGTAGGGCTGTCCAAACAGCCTGGCCTGGCCAGGATTTCCTGGTCTGGGCTGCGCAAAATGCCTAACACGGACACGGACACGGGCACCTTGGACCAAGCTGGGCCAGGCCCGGGTTCAGGTCCAGGCCAAACATGGTCGGGCTGGATTTTTTGGTATTTTTTTGATTTTTTTAAATTTTTTGCTAAAAATTGATTAAAAATAGATTAAAAAATTAGATTAATCTTATTATACTTATACAAATATGTATTAGTATATACGTACTTATTAGTATATAGCTATATATATTTTATGTAAGTATATATAAGTATACATTAATGACCATATCATACTATAATTATATATAGTATACATTAGAAATATATAAGTATACATTAATGACAATATATGCTTAAAAATATATATAAGTATATATTAATGACCATATCATACTATAATTATATATATATAATATATAAGATTAAAAACCAGCCCGGGTCAGGCTTATTCTATGTTTGGTCTTTTATATTCTTTTGTTTGTTGAAATAATAACTTTTTTTAATCTGCAGATTCTCCACCTTGTTGAGCAACTCTGCTTAGCTTTGAATGATGAATTTAGGACATATTTGCCGGCTATTCTTCCATGTTGTATACAAGTGCTGAGTGATGCTGAACGGTGGAATGACTATAGCCATGTTCCTGATATTCTTCATACTCTTGAAGTGTTTGGTGGTGGGTACCATTGTTATCTTCCTATAGCAATGTACATCAGATTTCTAATAAAGTAATAGTTTATCAATTTTTTCAATGTTCTCTGTTAGGCTCTTAGCTTTGTTTTTGCAGACAGTTGCCCGCAATTCCATGTAGTAAAATCTTACCATCTTGTTTCTGCTTTATGCCTTCTTCCTCCCTATTGTGTTTAGTTTAGGGCAACTCCTCGTTTGTCCATATTATTTTCTGCAACTTTGATTTAAATCAATTTGACTGCTGGTTGTAGCTTTTTTTTCTTTGTAAAAGTGTTCATGGAGCTACACCATAGCCTGCCCTACTTTTAGGGGAAATGACTTAGCAAAGACGATGATAATTTATCATGGCAAGACAGAGCTTTAATACTTGAGAAATATCATGCAGGAACCTTGGATGAACACATGCACTTACTCCTTCCTGCACTTATTCGCTTATTCAAAGTGGAGGCTTCAATTGATGTAAGACGTCGCGCAATCAACACTCTTACAAAGCTCATACCTCGAGTACAGGTAGGCTGCTAGTTTAATTTAAGCGGTTCAACATCTTTAAAGATTTTTGTCAAATTTTAGTGAGGATGTTTTGCTCTTTATATTGTTTTTTGTTTTTATTATTTGTTTCAGGTCAGTGGCCATGTGTCATCTCTTGTGCATCATCTGAATCTGGTTTTGGACGGGTAAGATAGTATAATCACGATTAATCAGTTATTTGGATTTTCAAGTAGTTTGTACTGGCATATGCCCTAGTTTGCTAGAATATTCTGAATATGCTACTGTCCTAATTTATCTCTTGTTTACTCTCGCCCCCATTGTACACATGCAAATCCCTCCCATCTCTGTTTCTTCTGTTATGACAAATTTAGTGGCACTGGATAGTTTTGTGCATGTTCCATTATCAGAGTAGTTTAGTTATTTAGCCATTTTGATGTATGATCAATGAGCACTAGCTAAGTTAACATTTTCATTCTTTTATTGTATCTTATTCAAATTCACAGAGCATTGTCGAGTATCTTAGATCTGTTAGTCTGATTCATTTTATTAATGGCTTCCATTTAGTACAGAATACAGATCCCTTTATGTACCACTTTTAATCTTTTACGATTTATGAATTCCTAAGAAACTTATTCAGGCCACTTTTTTTTTGTGCAGTTACTTCCTTAATTATTTAGATTGACAAGTGCAATGTGCTATCTTAAGGCTGTAATCACTAAATACAAACAATTATGTGAAAGAAGGAACTTGCTTTATTGATTACAAAACCTGCAGGTCTAATTGGAAAAATGGTAAACCTGAAGGTTATAATATAAATTTCTCGCAATTGAAAGATTAAAAATTGAGCCTCTGGTGGTAATGGGTTAGAGAAGTATAATATTTGGCAACTGAATCTAAAGAAATAGCTTAGGAAAAATTTCTGTGAAGATTGAGAATGTTGCAAATGTAATGAAGATTTGGCTCGTTTTCGCATGTGGTGAGGATTTGTTGCCTGTGGCGATGGGTGGTGAGGGGTTGCCAAATGACAGGAGTGTTGGGATGAGATAAGGGAATGCAGACATAACAAAGGTTTCACCAACCTTCCTCTTCCTCAGCCTCTTCTTTTCTTTTGTGTGTAGTTGACACTTTGGGGGTTCAAGAGAAGCTTCTTTCTTTTATCAAAATTCTTCAATCCAGTGCCTAACTACTGCAATGCTCGACTTCCCTCTGTAGAGGTAGCTTGAACATGAGGCTCCAATGTTCCACCTCTTTGCAGATGGGCTTTTCCATCAAAATTTTGATTTACCCCATAAGTATTTTTTGTAGGGAGTAAGCACTATTTGAAATGACGCTAAAATGCCTTTTGTTTTAACGACTGTCTTCATATTGGGGATTCTCTTCACCCTAAGAATAATAGGTTAGTAGTATTTAGTATGATGAGTAAGTAATCATTTCCATTCTAAATGCTAATAAATTTGTTGCATGCTTTAGATTCATAACTTTCAGCTACAAGTTAGTATTTATATTCACTGCATATATTCCTATTCAACGGACTATTGGTTGGTGGCAGGAATTTTTGTGGTTTGGATGCAGTTAATCCAGAATTTAGCTGCATTTATAGTTACAACTTTAAGCATGATTTCAGAAGATGCCGGCTTCATATTTTCTTTGTTGCATTTTCTATTATAATTTACATTATCTGTAAGATTACATGCTGGTCTGACCTGGAAGGTTTATCAGGAAAATTGATGAATTAAGAAGAGATGCTGCTGATGCTCTTTGCTGTCTTGCTCATGCTCTTGGCGAGGATTTTACAATCTTCATATCGTCAATCCACAAAATTCTGTTGAAACATCATATGCGGGTCTTCATCTTGCTGCTTCTTATGCTTCAGTTTGGTTGTTTAGATATTTGCTATTTCTAAATATGTATTCCTGCTTTCAGCACAGAGATTTTGAGGAAATTGAACGGCGTCTACGCGGCCGTGAACCACTTCTTCTGGAGAGTTTATCTGTACAGAAGTTTACTCGGAATGTTCCTTCTGAGATTATCAGTGATCCTATCAATGATGTGGACAGTGATCCTTACGAGGAAGGGACTGAAATGCACAGGCAATCAAGAGGCCACCAGGTAATATGCTTTCTCATTGGACTTGTCTTAGTGTTGGCTTGAAATGCACAGGCAATCAATAGAGACCCGAGACTTGTATGCTTATCTAGCTATGCTGTTATTAACAAAAACCTTTGCCATCTTTATATCTTAAAGTTTATCTTTCTTCAAAAGCATAGCAGGGTACACTAAATTATTTTTGTTTATGTCTTGATTATTCCTTTTTTTCTTATAGGTTAATGATGTTCGATTAAGGACTGCTGGTGAGGCTTCTCAAAGGAGTACTAAAGAAGACTGGGCTGAGTGGATGAGGCATTTTAGCATAGAACTGCTGAAGGAATCTCCATCCCCAGCTTTGCGTACCTGTGCAAGGCTTGCACAACTGCAAGTACAAAAATGACCATGATCTTTGTCATTCTATGTTATGATTATCTGTACTGAATTAGCATACATGCAGCCTTTTGTTGGAAGGGAGTTGTTTGCTGCCGGTTTTGCAAGTTGCTGGGCACAAATGAATGAAGCTTCACAAGAACAATTAGTCAGGAATCTTAAGACAGCATTCTCTTCGCAGAATATACCTCCCGAAATTCTGGCAACATTACTAAACTTGGTCAGATTCTTATTTATTTGTTTCTTTTGTATTATAATTTTATAATTAACATGCTTTCAATGTGTTGTTTTATTATTGATAATGGCTGAACTGTTTAGGCAGAGTTTATGGAGCATGATGAGAAGCCTCTTCCTATTGATACCCGACTACTTGGTGCTCTTGCAGAGAAGGTTATTTCATGTTGGATTTTGATTGTCTTTTGTGTAATCATGTTGATGTGATTCTGTGTAGCATAAATAGGTTAGTTTTAGCACATGTGTGAACATTATATAGTTACTATATTATTATAATTTGTGCAATATTTGCTTTCAATCTGTGTTTATTTGTGTAAGTGAAAATCTTTAACTACCATTCTTTGTGTCAATATTGTGTATCCATGTGTTTATTTGCATACACACTCAACACAAGCACACGTAACACATGCGTCATAGACCTATGCATATTTCATGTGTAATGGTATGAGACACATAGGAGTAAGCTAACACCTAATTTTAACCAGGAATGAGGAATAAATAGACAATTCCACTTCCAAATATCACATTTAGCTTTGTTTGTTTAGACATTTGTCAAAAGAGGTACATGTAACTAAACTTAGTTATGTGTGTGTGTGTGTGTTTGTGTTTATATATGTCTTTTACATTATGCTTCACGTTTTAACGTCATAGTTTTTAGTGAATTCTAATGTTATGGTGTCTTCTCATGTGATCCCCTATAATCATATCCATGCTTCCTTGTTGCAACTGTAAAATATTCATCTTCTAATTCAACCATTTTGTTTCCATAACCTTTCTTATCAGTGTCGGGCATTTGCTAAGGCACTTCACTACAAAGAAATGGAATTTGAAGCTGCACGCTCAAAGAAAATGGGAACAAATCCTGTTACCGTGGTTGAGTCTCTTATTCACATAAATAACCAGCTGCACCAGCATGAGGTCCGTCTTCACTCTGTGAAGAATTCTACATCTTATTTTTCATGTTTCTTTTATCTATTTCATAAAATGGTGTATATGTCCATTATTTTTTGACTCACAGGCTGCAGTTGGAATACTGACGTACTCACAGCAACATTTGGATGTGCAACTAAAGGAATCATGGTATCTCTACTACTTCTTGTTAATATTGTTTCAAGTCTTCCTAATGATGTTTTGAATGTTCTCGTAATTTATAATGAATTTCTTTAATAATAAGAAAGAAAAATAATTTATTCCCTTCTCCTTAGGCTTATAACTCTATTGTTCTAGGTATGAAAAATTGCAGCGGTGGGATGATGCACTCAGGGCATACACTGCAAAATCATCTCAAGCATCAAATCCACTTTTAAATTTGGATGCTACACTAGGTTAGTATTCACTTATCACACTTTATTACTGATTTGCATACATGGAAGCCATGCTGTTCCGCGAGTTGACTTAGGTTGAAACATTTTATGAGATTGATTGCTTGAGATAGTTATGTGAGATTGATTAATATTCTTTATATTTGTAGGTATCACCTGACGTTGTTCGGTTCAACAAATGTTTTGTTGAATTATTCACAAAAGTAAATAAATTAGTTGTCATTGCTATTTGTACTAAAATTTTACTGTACTAGCTACTAGGAGACAGAAAGATATTGATACAATTACTCTTTGTCTAAGTTATTGTCAATTATCAAAACAGCTGTGAAGGTAATGTTTGCCTGAAAGGAAATATTGGAAACACATCTGGGGTTATTTGGGTTCTTTTTTGGAGGGTTTGGGATGGGACACGACACCCACATACACGAGGACTATCTGGGTTTTGTGGTCTTCTATTATGGTAGATAACCTTAGCTAATTCTATAAAAGTTAGATGCAAGAATAAACCAACTCAGTATATTATAAAGTAGTAGCATGTTACTAGCTTTTCAATTCATCTCTCTCTCTCTCTCTCCCTCTCTCTCTCCCTCTCTCATTCTTTATGGGAATATGATCCCTTTAAACTTTCAAAGGTTAAATAAATACAAAAGACCGAGTTGTAAGAAATGGCAAATATGTGGTGCAAATTGTTGAACTTTTGGTTTATTTTCGAAAACTATGTGTTCTAACTTGGGACTACGGTCCATAAGAAAACATCATATGAATATGCTCGTCATTTTTTGGCCATTCATTATTGTGCGATTTGGTACATGGTTAGAAAAACTTTAATTTGCTTGATTTTTGGGTTTTAACCACGTAAGATACATTCTCCGTGTGTATGTTTGTATATATTTCCTCATATGACAATGACGTGGTTCAAGAGCAAATAGGAGAGAAACCGTCATAACTACACTTGGTTGGGATTGAGCCACTCATTGTATATGAGGGAGTTTCCTCATATACAACATGCGGATACTATCAATCCACTTTTAAAATTTGGAGCTGGAAAATGAATATCCAAACATGTAGATGTGATTTACTACACAGAAATAAAATTTCAAGGATTTAATGTGCTTTGAATCATGTGTCACGGGGCAAAAATTAAGCCACTTAAATTTGACTACTTATGATACATGGGTTAATAATGATGTTGAAATCCTTTGAAGTTTTATTTCTATATAGTTGATGTGTAATAAATCACATCCCTCGGTTTGGTTTATCATTTTCGGACTCTGAATTTCATAATTGCGTGGATTGTTTCCGCATGTTGGATACTGTCAATCGTAGCCTCACTCAACTCTCTCTATATATTGTAAAAGTCTTGCAAAATTAAGTGGATAGGAGCACTTGCTAACCGGCTTTTTTATCTATTAGATTTGCTTTGAGATTCGTGTTGACGTATGATACACATCAAGGGGCACATCTCAAGTATAATTTTGATGTGCATCACATGCCAACATGAATCTCAAAGTAAAACTCATGGATAAAAAGAGTTGGGGGATTACGATAGAGCCCTCATCAATAATGGATATCCTTTGTCATATGAGGGGAATTTCCTTATATTGCAATGATGTGGCTCAATCTCAATCAAGTAAATAAAGCAGGAGAGAGAAACCCTCATAATAACACTTGGTTGAGAGCGCATTATTGTGTATGAGGGATCCCCTCGTATGAAATATGCTAGCAATTAACCTATATATATATATATTATTTATATATTATTATATATTATAATAATATATAATATATATATTATATATATATATATAATCATTGTCAATGAGGGGATTCCCTCTTTGACAATTGAATGTGGCACAATCCCATGGTGGGATTTCTCTCTCCTACTTTATTCCCACATGGGGATTGTGCCACATCATTGTTAAGGAGGTAAATCCCTCCTTGACAATAACCTCTCTCTCTCTCTCTCTTATATCTATTAATAATATATATATATATTTATATATATATATATTATATATAATATATATATTATATAATATATCAGGACTCAGGCCCATCCAACTGTTCACATTGGACCAGTGGACGTTACCCGTCCTCTCTCTTTGAAACTTATTTGGTTAAATAGGCTGTCAACTCACATATAATATCTCTTTATATATCTGTGTATATTTACCGTATACACGTGCATATTGTGTATGTATATGTACTTACTATATGAAAAGAATTCATATAAGTTTTAAATTTCCAATCATGTAAACCACTGTAAATTAAACGCCCTTTCGTAATTAGTGAGTCGAACTATTCTTCATGTTGGTCAATGGCCTCACACATGCTGGATGTTCTGGACACGTACTCAACAAGCCTCTTGCACCTGTGCATGCATGATACATTTTCTTGCTTAATCAGTGTAATTATTTATGTAATCATATACTTATTAAGTATGTGCTAAGGTTCTATATATTGTTTGTATGTATTAGGTCGAATGAGGTGCCTAGCTGCTTTAGCTCGTTGGGACGAGCTCAACAATCTCTGCAAAGAGCAAGGTCTGTGATCTGATATGTTTGCAGAGTCAACCAGCACAAACACAGATCTGTAAATTCATTAGATTTTTTATTCTTATCTTTTCTGTTTGACTTTTTATTATAGGCTGCTAGTGCTGCCTGGAATATGGGAGAGTGGGATCAGATGTCTGAATATGTTTCTCGGTTGGATGATGGGGATGAAAGCAAACTTCGTATTATAGGTAATACTACTACAAGTGGTGATGGAAGCAGCAATGGCGCCTTCTTTAGGGCTGTTCTTCTGGTTCGACGCCAAAAGGTAACATTTGGTGTCCTTACCGTAACATTTGGTATCTTTACCATACCATTTTCAGTGGGTCATTTGATGACTGTTATGATTTTTCCAGTATGATGAAGCGCGTGAATTCGTTGAGAGAGCAAGGAAGTGTCTGGCAACTGAATTGGCTGCACTGGTTAGCGTCTTGACTCCTAGCAACAGTTACCTAGCATCACTGCTCATTATCTTGTATCTTTCTACATGGATACACTATTCAATGCTTAGAAGTTCATTATGGCTATCTATGTCTGAAAATTCTGTAGCATATCATTTATTTTAAACCAAAGGATTTTATCATTTTTTATGTTTCCTCAAGTATCCATGCAGAGCACAGTATGTCATATGAAAGGAGGGGTAAAAAGGAAATAAACTCGACTAGATTGTTTAAGGTCTGTTGAAATGACGAGAAATTTATATCAGAAAGAACGTGTGATGTTTACATGCTCTTATACTAAAGAAAGAAAAGTTCTTATGTAAGGAGAAAACACATGCATAGGCAAAGTACTTTGATCTTTCAGGAAGACAACTCTTGCTAAATGCTAAATATTGTAGGTCAAAAACATCTAAGTTTGTCAGATCAGTATTATCATCATTCTAGTTGTTTTTCCATAAAAATATGGTTCAGTTATGGATAGCAACTCCATACATTGTGGCTTCATGGAGAACTTAAGAAGTTCAGTTTAGGTTCATGCAACCAAGCAGTGGCATTCCGAATTTCTCGTTGACTAAAAGTCTAGGAGATATGTTTATTAAAAGTTGCAGTCATCTCTTAGGCATAGTAGAATCTGCATAGCAAGAACAAGCTGCAGTTCTGGAGTTGAAATTCAAATTACTATTTTGTCCTTCAAGTCTTCAACATGGACTGTAGAGTTGTATGGACCTTTCTTTTTGAGCTGTCTAGAGACATATAAATATGGATGCTCTTGTCTATTCTAGACCCTAAGATTGCCTGTACTTCAATGGGGCTTTTCTGCAGTTTTGCTCATGTCCTGTATTAAAATTAACAGATTTGCTGTTGCCACTCTCTAGATCCATTTATATAACTAATTCAAGTTGTTTATGACATTAACATGCAAGTTTTTGGTAGTTGCACCAGATTCCTCGTTCATTTCCTATGAAACTAATATGGAGGTATATACTAATGTAGTGTATATAAAGGTAAAATATTCACTTTGCAAGAGAGTTGGAACTATAAGCTCATAACCTATATTCATTAGTCACAATGAACATGTGTTTGCCATATACCTCTGTTTTGATGATGATCATGTAAGCTAAGCTAATGGAGTATTGACTAACAAGGGATTTGATGAAATATATGGAGGATTGGCTGACAACTAATCGGTTCTGGATCGAGTCCTTCCTTTCTCTATTAGCTGCAATTATTAGGTATGCTTTCAAGGGTTACCTATGGGGCATGTTACTTTAGCTTCCATCAATGTTGACGTTTCTTTTGTTCATCTGAAACATTAATACCTCTACCATAAACCCACCACCACCGTTAGGAGACAAAGGCTTAACCCTAAAACTTTGCAGTACGCTCCATGAAACCTTTTTCTTAATCCATGTCTTTAAAGGTCCATCTCCTTGGTTATTTTAGAGTACCATATGTTTATTAGTTATCGCAGTCTACACATCTAAATCCAGACATGATCAGTTCCTTCACCTACAACCTGAGCACTTTCAACCGTTGCTCGAAGTTGTTTCCAGTGTACATGTCCGAACCATCTCGTGGATACTTTATCATTCAACCTTTAGTTGTGCCATCTCTGACTTAAGGATGTACTTCTCTTTCGTTGTAACTTTCGTCATGTTGCCAGTCATCCATCCCAGCGTTCTCGTTACATTTCTTCTGACCCAAAAAGTTTGTAAATGTTAATTTCGACTTTAATTTGCAGTTGTTTCATTTCCCTTCTAAGCTGATCAATATTACTATTTTGTGGTGTATTCATTATAGATATTCTGCAAAAGGTTTATTCTTGAATGATGTTTTATTTACATATCAAATTCTTTGCTAAGCATCATTGCCACCTAGTTCCTGATCCTGGTTTATACGTCCTTACCGTAAGGCTTTGCCTTTTCTTTGCATCACACCCTTCATTAATTCATTATGATCTGTGAACGAGTATATTTTTGTGATTTTCAAATGTTGTAATTTTGGGCTATACTTTTGATTGGTTTATAGGTGCTGGAAAGTTATGAACGTGCTTACAGCAACATGGTTCGGGTTCAACAGCTGTCAGAATTAGAAGAGGTTTGTCGCATATGATCTGCATTTTTAAAAATAATTTGTTTCTTATGACCTTTGTTTTTTTGTTTCTTTTTCCCTTTGACATGCATCCCCTGTTTGATTTTGGTGGAATGAACTAATTTTTGACTCGTTACAGGTGATTGATTACTGCACTCTTCCGGTGGGAAACCCTGTAGCAGATGGTCGAAGAGAGCTAATTCGTAACATGTGGAATGAGCGCATACAAGGAGCTAAACGTAATGTCGAGGTCAGTTTTTCTGGGCTTTCCATTCATTTTTATTACTTCCATTTGATGAAATGATTCATGTCTCACACACATTGCCTCTTAGATTTTTGTCTAAATCTGCAGAAGTCCATATGATTTTGATTCATGACCTTTCACTTGATCCTTTACATCTTTCTGCTGCATATTCATTCTCATGTTTGTGCAGCTTTATAGTTCAAGATGACTAGTTAGTTCATCTTACACTTCTCGTATTGCATCGTGTTCTTTTGTTTGTTAACTTGTTCTCTCTGAACTTTGATGTTTTATGGCTATATCGAGCTTTCAGTCAAGTTATTGCATCATTCTATATAGTTACAAGAGTGTCATACATCAGTTTATCCTCGCCATTCCTTGTTTTTTATCCTGCGGGATCTCCATTGTCATGCTATAATTTGTTATCCTTTTTAACATTTTGATATGTTTTTTTGATCACTTTCCCAATGAACTTACAGGTTTGGCAAGCTCTTCTTGCAGTAAGAGAACTTGTCCTGCCTCCTTCTGAAGATATAGAATCTTGGCTTAAATTTGCATCACTTTGCCGGAAGAGTGGTCGAATAAGTCAGGCTAGATCTACTTTAATTAAACTTTTACAGGTACGTTATTATGAATTTAGAAACTAATTTTGGATTTGAATTGGTTTGCTGAGAATGTTTCTAATTGTGCACAGTATGACCCTGAATCATCTCCTGGAAACTCATTATACCATGGACATCCTCAAGTTATGTTAGCTTATCTCAAGTATCAGTGGTCTCTTGGTGATGATCTTAAACGAAAAGAAGCATTTTCAAAGCTTCAAGTAAGTGGATCTGGGTTTTTTTCTTTCTTTCTTTCTTTTTTTTTTCCAGAGCAGCATAAGCTATCTTTACTCTTTTTAAATTTTCATCTTTTAATGTTTAGTTATGTTCCTGAAATGTTCCCCTTTCAGGATTTAGCTCTACAGCTTGCTTCGACTCCAAATACTTACTCAATAATTGCAGCTAATTCTTCAAATGTTAGTGTTCCTCTTCTTGCTCGTGTGTATCTGAAACTGGGTACCTGGCGCCGAGCACTTTCTCCTGGATTAGACGATGAATCAGTACGAGGTATCAGCAGCTTTATATTCTTTTGAATTTTCTTGATTTCAAATGTATTTTTAATGTATCAACTGTTACAATGGTCAGAAATTCTTGTATCATTCAAGAACACCACTCAATATGCAAAGGACTGGGCAAAAGCATGGCACACATGGGCATTATTCAATACTGCAGTAATGTCACATTATACTTTAAGTGGGTATCCTGGTCTAGCAGCACAGTATGTTGTTGCTGCAGTTACTGGATATTTCCATTCAATAGCTTGTGCATCAAATGCAAAAGGTGTTGATGACAGCTTACAGGTAAAACCTTTCCATCAGAGTCCTCCATTTACTTTTTTTATATATTCATTGGCAGAAAACTTTGTTTTCTTGAAGTATATATTTATAAGTCTGACAGGTGAGACCCCCCCCCTCCCCCTCTCTCCCTCCCTTCTTCTTCTTTGCCGGACTTAGGAACCTGCATTGGCTTGAAAATTTTCCTTGACGCAACCGATTATTCCTTATCTTTTTGTGGACTAATTGTAACTATACCTTATTCAGCAACAATGTGATAATAAAACTAGAAGCTATCCTTCTCATATAATTTGTTTCAGAAAATAATGACAAACATTACTCTGAAGGCATAAGAACGATGATTTTCCCTTTTTTTCAGAGTTCAGAGGAATGCTAGATTCCAAACTGAATTCATGTATGAGTTTTTTTAAAAAAATCTTTTGAATCCTTTTCTTCCCCAAGATCTCTTCTAAATGAGCATATAAATATTGATGTTTGTCATGTCACCATTATCATCGAAGACCTTTCTCATCAAAGACAAGGTTGGCTGTCGAGCATGCAAAAAAAGTGACTGACCTCCATAAAAATAAAGTTCTTTGCAATTTACTCTTTATTTAGAAAGTTCGTTACTGTGTTCAAAGCATTCATCGTGATTGTAGTATAAATGGAGGAGGATATCGTGCTTCATGATTCGGTCTTTATTTGGTCGGATGAGTCTCTTATGATTGATCGTAGATGGTCCTTTTTCTAACTACAGTATCTCATTGTATGCTTTTCTCCTATTCAACAAATCTGTGGATTATATTCCATTTTCTTTTAATGTTTTCACTCAGTATTTGTCTGAAGGAGCTCACCATCATTCTTGGTATACATTCCCCTTGGTGTTCTCGAATACTGATTCAGGTTGTCTTAAGTTATTTTCTATTCCGCTGTACCACTCAACTATGATTCCCTATCATTTGAGTATTCCGCTGATTCCCTTTCTTGTTGCATATGGATACTGGGGCATTTTGCCTGCAGTTCTTTGCTAATTCTTGGAGTACATATTCCATTTTCTAAGTTACATAATTAAAGAATAAAGAGAAAATGAGTCTTTTAATCTTTTTACTTCACGTGTCACATCATCTATACAATTCAATTTTGAATTGGAAGAGATGGCTGAGTGGACTAAAGCGGCAGATTGCTAATCCAGATTTAATTGTTGTGTTATAAGAAACAACAAATAGGAAAGAATAAATATTTTTTTTTAAAGATGATCATTCATTCCTACTACTTGTCCAAATCATCATTTTTGATATTTTATTTAGGGGTATAACACCCAATTTTTTTGCCTTCTTCTGAAAGCTATGATGTTATGTTTTTATTACACCATGTATAATTGGAGATGAAAGACAACATTCCCTAAGGAACTATGCAACCAGAACATGGTACAGTTACTGTGAAGAGTACGTGCATGACAAATCTTATATAAATTCTGGATTGAACTTTGTCCAATTTGAAAGAATTATGCTTATGAAGAAGTCTTAGCATTTGGGTCCATAGGCATTATGATGTTCGTGAAGCTGCACAACTTAAATTAAGAATTCTATATATAGTTGAGTAAGATCGTCATTTGTAAACATAGCAGAGAAGTCAGTTTCAGACCTATATTTGACCATCAAGTTTGTAATATATCTAGACAATGATGCATCTTATTGAGTCTTTAACTTCAGGTTCTGGATACCATGTTTGCTTGGTAGTCTGTTAGCTTCTCATATTATATCTTGAATGCTAACAGTATACAAAGCCATTTAATTTCTATCTGTTTTTGCTTTCAGGATATTCTTCGTCTTCTCACTTTGTGGTTCAACTATGGAGCTACATCTGAGGTTCAAACAGCATTGCAGAAGGGATTTTCACTTGTTAAGATAGAAATGTGGTTGGTTGTATTACCTCAAATAATTGCAAGGATCCATTCAAATAATAAAGCTGTACGAGAGCTGATTCAATCGTTGTTGGTGCGGATAGGAAGAGGACATCCACAGGTTAATTTCAATTATGTTTACATAATGAAACATGAAGCTGCTTCTGTATACTAGTTTTTTCTATAATCATTTTACCTATTTTTCTGCCTCTCACAGCCAGTATTCTACAAAGTGACGACTGAAGGAAAGTGAATGCAACACTTAATTCTTGAGGATATCTAATTAACATAACAAATTAAAGAATGACGTATTACAAGTAACATGTTTGTCATGTCAATTATATGTTATCATTTATCAAGCATGAAAAATGTTTAGTTCAGAGTTGAATCTCTAACCAATTGTTTTTGCTGTTTTGCTTGAACTGTGCAATACCATATGTTACAGGGAAGTTAAGTCCACACTTGTATAATCTTTATTTCCCTAAGTTTATATTTTTCCTACTCACATTTCATAAATTTTCACATATAGATATTTATGATAATGATAGTTCATTTATGAGTACTGAAAATTCTTTTCTACCTGTTGGATTTTTCATAAAAGTATGCAAAATCTTATCCTAAAGTTGAACTTAAATATTCAGATATGGTATCTCATCCTAGAACTTCTCATGTAGCTACTAAGTTGCTGTATGGAAAATTTGTTTAGCAACAAAATAATATTTCTTTGTGGTTATCCAGTCATCCTAAAATTTTGGAGAAACTAATGATGATCTCACTTTTAATAACTACTGTGGACGTTCTCAGACATAGTCCAATCTTTTGCTCCACAAAAGAAACATAACCTACTAAATATTGTTTAAATTCATCAAATCATGATTTTTTGGTGAAATATGGTTAGGTTTGGCTAACCTACTACACTATGCAATTTCATGTATTTGTTAAGTATCTTTTTCAACTAATTAGTGATTTAGAATAAATGTTAGTGGCCACAATAATTTGGCGCACACTTCAAGTCTAATAATTATTTTTACTATATAACCAACTGTTGTATGTTCATGCAGTTCATGAGCATTTGCATGTAGTCTTTTGTGTACACGTATATAATCCGATCAAACATTTTAACACATTATTTATATGTTAGGGTAATTCTGCTGACGAAAAAAAAAAATGTAATGAAGCTGAAAATAACCTTTGAATGTAGTTGAAATCATTAGAGCTAAAAGTACAGAACTTTCCTAAAGTGATGAGTGCTATTAGTTCAACTTACATTTCATCATGATATAAAGTAGAAGAATAAAAAATAGAGACAGCATATTGTACTATTTGATCATAAAAAATATTTTTTCTACGAACTTAATATCATATTGTAGCCACTACGAGTTACTAATTGTAGTTTTCATTATGAGTTACTTCAGATACGTTTCTCTGTTTTCACTAACTGTTGTATGTACTGTTCAGTTTTCACCATCCAACTGCAATGACAGTCGAGTATTTTTTCTGTTGACTACGTTAGTTAGTTTAGCTCTTCATCAAGGGCCATTTTGAGTGTCATTCCCTTCAACTTCTCAAAGCATGCTTGCTTTTAATTGCGACTCCTTGTATGTTTTGACTCCGCCTGTCTCTCTTCTTCAAGTCTTTGCTATTTTTCCCATTGATCTTCATTGCACATGTTCAGGACATTGCTAGTCTCCTATCCTTGATCATCTCAAGGCATTTCAAATGACATCAGAATTATCTTACAGTTCTTTGTGTTATAGTAATCTGCTATTCCTGTGGAATGCTTTTGTTAGAAACTTAAAATCAACTACTTTTCAGTAACAGTATGCACAAATCAAAATATGTTTGATTTTTTGTGTTCTTTACTTCCCTAATTTCTTTCCAGTTTTAATTTTTGGAGTGTATAGCTTACATGAATCTTTTACTCAATCTCTCTTTCTTCCTTTGCTATTTAAGCTCTTATGTACTTTGTTTGATGGCTTTTCTTTTCAGGCTCTTATGTATCCTCTTCTGGTGGCATGCAAATCAATAAGCCAATTGCGCAGAGCTGCAGCACAGGAAGTTGTTGATAAAATTCGCCAGCACAGTGGAGCTCTTGTTGAGCAGGTGAATATCATTTGATTTTACTAATTTCCAGAATTGGACATTTTATAACAGATGATTTTTTTTCTTATTCTAGGCTCAACTAGTGTCAAAGGAGTTGATCAGGGTAGCCATATTATGGCATGAAATGTGGCATGAGGCTTTGGAGGAAGCAAGCCGTTTGTATTTTGGTGAACACAGCCATATTATGGCATGAAATGTGGCATGAGGCTTTGGAGGAAGCAAGCCGTTTGTATTTTGGTGAACACAATATTGAAGGAATGCTTGCGGTGCTGGACCCCTTACATAATATGCTTGAGGAAGGACCTGGAACATTGAAAGAGATCGCCTTCATTCAGGTATCCTTTTTATCTTTTTATTTATTTATTATTTTTTTAAAGTTACAGGCTGCAGAATGTACTATCATATTATAATGAGTATTTACAATAATGAGTCCCTATAAGTTTAATTAAAGTCGATATTGCTAGTTTGTCGTTGGTATTGGATGAAAGAAAGTGTGTTCTTTTACCCTTTGACTTCTTCGTTATTAATCTTTAAATCATTTTAATGATTTAAATTTTGTATCCATGAAAAGCACTGAACTATTTGATCATCAGTTATGTTGGTATTTATCCCTCTTCCTCCTCAACAATTTGAACGGCCTTTATGATAGCTTCTTGGAGGTTGGATCCAGAAAAGAAACTAGAAAAAACAATAAAAGAGAAAGACTTGAATCTTTTTTTTTTAAGTTGTGATCCTTGACCCAGTTTTTTATATATTTTCAGGCGTATGGTCGTGAACTGTTGGAAGCTCGTGAATGTTGCTTGAAGTATAGGCGAACAGGGAAGGATGCAGAACTTACTCAGGTTTCTGCTAGCTCCATGAGTGGCTTCACTGTTGACTATTTTCGTTTTACAAAAACTTCATCTGAAGCTTCCTCCGGATGTTTGCTTTTATTCTTAATTTCAGGCATGGGATTTGTATTATCATGTTTTCAGGCGAATAGACAAGCAACTTCCAAGTCTTACTACCCTGGACCTACAGGCAAGATTTGCACATTTAGTTTCCAGTGCATTCATTGATAATCCTTGGAATGCTTCTAAGCATTTAATTTACTTGTATTCAGTCTGTCTCTCCTGAATTGCTAAAATGTCGAGATTTAGAGCTTGCTGTACCCGGAACATACCATGCAGGTAAGAATCCAGACTGCTCTTTTACTATGTATGTGGGTAGCTTTTTTTCATCATTGAACTTTCTTATTTTTGTGTATGGTTTATGATCCTTAAAGCTGTTTTTTAGGCTAGATATTTCTTCTCTATGCAACTGCGTGTGGCATGCATGTGTTTTTTGGCTTTTTTTTAATATAAGTTGTTGAATTAAGATGGCAGTCCACTTTGTTTTCAGATGCACCTGTTGTGACAATTGCTTCATTTGCTCCGACACTTGTTGTAATTACATCTAAACAGAGACCACGAAAACTGACAATTCATGGTAGTGATGGTGAGGATTATGCATTCCTTCTGAAAGGTCATGAGGATTTACGGCAAGATGAACGTGTCATGCAGGTAAGAGTTATTGCTGAAAGGTTCATCTTTTTATTTTTTGGAATTTGCATTAGACATAGTATCAATGTTACAAAGCATCACCTCATTTTAGGCCGTAACATGTGAACTAAACCTTCTCTCTTGATCTTTGTTGAAACGTCTGTATTCTAGTTGAAAGTGCATGGCGATTTGCTTTTAGAAAGTTGTGCTGAGTGTATTTGCATCTTCCTTTTAGCCCTCCTGTAGAAGCTGCAGAATTATTGGCAACAATTAAAGGCATCCTTAATTTTTTTGTTTTTAAATGTCGTACTGCGTTCCTTTGAAGTCATATGAAGTGGTGTTTATTGACCCTGTGACTGAGGGATAGATTACTGGATTGTCCTTGTACTCTATTGTTGGCCTACTCTTTTCATTTTCTTTTAGATTTTCTTCAAATTCCAATTCAAATAACTCATCTTAGTGAAGGCGTTTGCTACATATGATTCTATTTCTCTTTGTAGACAGTGGTTTTTAATAAGAGTGAAAGCTTTTATTTGTCAACCTTTATAACCTGAACCACTAGCATCTTTAAGGACTTGTTTTCCAGACACATTAAGATGCCTTGGGGTTGGTACTTGTTGAAGACCGTGCATTTCAGCAAATATTGTTCACCGGGAATCCACAATTTTAACTCATAACCTCCTCCTCCACCCCAACCCACCCCCCCACCCCCCCTCTTTTTGTTGTTGTTTTTGTAGTTGTAGTTATCCAATATTTGTCATTCTCTAACCCCCTTTAAAAGCTGGCACAGTGTTAATTATGTTATGGCGTACCAATATTGAAAGTCAGAGATGACTGCTATTGTTTCCCTCCAATAAACAGGTGCCCCTTGTGCCTTTTTTCATGATCTGAACCCTGGTCTCCACTTAGTTAACTCTTCCCTTTACCATTATGCCTAGTGCATGCTTGGAGTCCTGTGAATCAGCTTACTATTTCATTTCTAGCATACCATCTTGAATTCAACTAGCTGAACTTTCAAGCAGGCCAGTTCATGTACATCTCGTCATTTTGATGATTTATTTCAGTGAACTATGAGGCTAGTGGGAGATTGCGCAGAACATGTCAACACGTAGGCTTCACCATGTCCATTTAACACGCAAGGTTGGAGCCTTAAACGGAAAGGAGCTTGCGATTAGTGTTTTATAAATTATTACCGAAGAATAAGTTAGTCAAATTGTCATCTCAGGAATTGACTTATTTACTGCAGTTGGTTGAATGGTAGCCTCAGGTTGTGTCACATCATATTTCTGTTTGTCCAAATTTTCTGTTATTAGATTAACCACGAGCATGTGATTTCTTGATATAATGAATGTATGATGTTACGTTTGTTTGATTCACCAAAGGAAATCAACTCATTCTTCATTTTGGTTCAGAAGCATGTGTGCTTGCTTGGGTGATTTTAACATTATCAACATGATTATATTGTTGAGTACCAGCTAATTTAGCATTTTTGAATTGTCTATCCTCTAGCTTTTCGGTTTGGTGAACACTCTTCTGGAGAACTCAAGGAAAACTGCAGAAAAAGATCTTTCCATTCAACGCTATTCAGTCATTCCTTTGTCCCCAAATAGTGGTTTGATTGGATGGGTTCCAAATTGTGATACACTACACCATTTAATTCGGGAGTACAGGGATGCGAGGAAGGTAGGTTTTCATGACTACTCATACCAAGTCATGTTTGATTAAGCTGTGGAACATGTGTTTATGAAATCACTTCTCTAGAGTTGTTCACTGGATAGGTCTTATTATCCATGTGTTATACCAGATCCATTTGAATCAAGAACACAGACTTATGCTGGCTTTTGCGCCTGATTATGATCGCTTGCCACTCATAGCTAAAGTGGAAGTATTCGAGCATGCTCTGCAAAATACTGAAGGAAATGACTTGGCAAAGGTATTATATTTGCTCTGATGTGCTGTTTGTAATGTCTGGAATATATATTGAAGTTTAATTGTGTTCGTTCGTGTCTTTTCCGTACCAAAATAATGTAATTTCATTATAGGTTCTCTGGTTAAAAAGCCGGACTTCTGAAGTTTGGCTTGATCGGCGTACAAATTATACTAGAAGCTTGGCTGTGATGAGTATGGTATGCTATTCCCTAGACAAGTAGCATCTTCATATTATTCACATAAGAATTTCATAGTTATTCATCTGGGTAAACTAAGCTTATATGGTACTTTACATTTTCCAGGTTGGTTATCTGCTAGGACTCGGAGATCGGCATCCAAGTAATCTTATGCTGCACCGGTTCAGGTATTATAGAAATTAGTTTTCTGCTATGTTACCTGGGTACTTCAAATCAGAAGTCATACCCATATCCGAATCAGAAGTCATACCCATATCCGACATGTACCTGTACCTGTATCGAAACTTCTTAGATACTTCTTGAGTGTAGGCATATGTCTATTTAGCCGTATACTGAATTATATAATGCATGTTTTAATTTAAAACAATCCTCATACTCTTCTTGGATGTATATTCTACACTTCACATCCATTTCTTATATATTGATCTAATGTAAATATAAAACAATATAGATCTTATGTAAATTATTAATTTTAATAGATATAAATATACATAAGATACATATATATAGTCGTGTCCTTGTATCCTACCTTCTAGAAATTTGCCGTCTCCCGTACCCGCACCCGTATACCGGTATCTGCACCCATGCAATTTAGGTTTTGAGTTACTACTACATTGGATGATCTTGAGGAAGTATCCTGAATGGTGATATTTTAAATTTCTCATTTCAGTGGGAAGATATTGCATATTGATTTTGGAGATTGTTTCGAGGCTTCCATGAACAGAGAGAAGTTCCCAGAGAAGGCAAGTAAATATTATGTGTCAAACAGCAAAGTGTTCTCTCTCTGTTTTAATTTCTTTTCAAGGTTCTTGAATCATATAAAATACTTTAGAGGATTCATCGGTTCCAACTTATAAATTGTTAAATGTTATGACGTATGAGCAGGTACCTTTTCGCTTAACTAGAATGCTCGTGAAGGCTATGGAAGTTAGTGGTATTGAAGGTAATTTCAGGTCGACCTGTGAAAATGTGATGCAAGTACTGCGAACCAATAAAGATAGCGTCATGGCTATGATGGAGGTAAAGGAACCATGATTATTGCATCTTTGTTATTTTCTCTTAGTTTTAACTAGAAAGGTAGAGGCAAAGAGCTGGCCTGAGGACTGAAGTCCTTGATTCTAATTAGCTAGATAGAAAACTAAAGTTCTTGATCCTGATTAAATTACATGGGAAATGTGTGCTTTTTTATGTGATGGCATGCATAATGTATGGATGGATAGTTAAATATCAGCTTAACGTGTTGCACTGAGATAAAACATTGTTTTGATTATGGCTTCATCCTCTCAAACTTCTCAGACAGCCTTTGTGTCGTTGTTTGCCCATGATAATAAGCAACACATAAGTTGTATGCTTATAACTTCGGTTATTTGCCAGTTTTCTATAAGCAGCATAGAACTGCATCAAGTGGTGGAATGCTAATAACCTGGACAAACAGCAAGTTTGATTATCTCAAATAGATCTCAGGGAAATATTTTCTGAAGAATTTTTTTTAAAGAGAGAGATAGGGATGGCTTCATAGAATATTTCTAGTTCTCTGGGACTCCATGATTTGTTGCCTTCTATGTCTTTAATGTAATAATTTGCATCCCTGGCCTTGTAATTTTATAAGTGCAGTCAGATTGGAACCTTGGAATTTTAGATTTCCATGATACTTTCTTTTGCAAAATCTAAACCTTGGGTGTGTTTGATTTCAGGCTTTCGTACACGATCCTCTTATCAATTGGAGACTGTTCAATTTTAATGAAGTTCCTCAAATGGCGAACTATGGAAACTCCCATGTTCATCCTGTTGTGAATAGTGAGGAATCTGCACCTAATAGAGATCTCCCTCAACCTCTGCGTGGTGCACGGGAGAGAGAACTGCTGCAGGTTAGTATGCTGCCCCTTTGCTGATAATAATAACAGCAGCAGCAATGCCTTAATCCAAATTCTCTGATTGGTTGCATGAATTTAACTTTTCCGTTCAGCTGTGTTCAGGACTATCTTGTCTTTCTTACTTACCTTTGCCCCTTTGATGATATGAATTTTGGTATTGGTTTGTTATAGCAGTCGAAGGATTTCGATTGTCCATCAGCTGTCAATCAACTTGGTGTTGCTAATTAAAAATATTTTGATTATCCATAGGCTGTCAATCAACTTGGTGATGCTAATGAGGTTTTAAATGAACGCGTTCACCGACGTCAATCGAACTCCTGTGAACCGGATAGTGACGTTCATCGTCATTCCTTAACACTGAGTTGTTCGTAGAGACCTATAGGCAATTTTCGACGCCTACACCATTCTCTTGTCACAGTACGACATGCAGTTCATGCCCCAAAAGGCGGTCAAGGGTCAAGCACTGGCAGACTTCTTAGGATATGAATTTTGGTATTGGTTTGTTATAGCAGTCAAAAGATTTCGATTATCCATCAGCTGTCAATCAACTTGGTGGTGCTAATTAAAAATATTTTGACTATCCATAGGCTGTCAATCAACTTGGTGATGCTAATGAGGTTTTAAATGAACGAGCGGTGGTGGTTATGGCACGGATGAGCAATAAGCTCACTGGACGGGACTTTTCTTCTGGATCATCAGTGTCAGGGGTTGCCAGTTCAATCCAGTATACTGATCACCATAGTGCCTTGATTTCTGGGGATACTCGTGAAGTTGATCATGGTCTATCTGTGAAACTTCAGGTTCAGAAGCTAATTTTACAAGCCACAGCCCATGAAAATTTGTGTCAGAACTATGTTGGGTAAGCAATGAATAGAACTTTCTACGTTTATTTTGCTATCTGTCAATCTCATGCCCTTTCCAATTTATTTGGACTAAAATTAACCGCCTAGGGAGCTTTATGAAGAATTTACTGGACATAGAAAATGTAGCGAGGAAAGAAGCACCACAGTGTAAATTTGAGCACGTGCTCCGCCATAAAACATAGAAATAACCTGCAGGCATTGGGTAGCTTTCTGGCTGCTAAAATTTATCAATTTGTTTACTCAATCCCTGTATTCTCTCATCACTGGAGAGACTTCAAAATTTTCACACTTGGTGGTGCATCAAATTTTGCTTCCTTTCGTGATTTTTGTGTCTCAGATCTTTTTATAATGGAAATATGCGACCATTTTTGTGACTCAGAAACACAAGATATATAAGGTGTTGGACTAAAAGAAGTTCAACGATATCAATTTATACGTAAACCGAACAGTTTAATATTATAATTTTAAATTTAACTACGCATTTTGAAAAAACTTGTGTGATTGATTCTATTACATTTCTGCGAAAGTTACATTTTGGCTCCTTGCATTCACGCTTCTTTTGGTTCTCAGGTGGTGCCCATTTTGGTGAAGCTGCGTTAGAGGCTGTAAATACTGTACATAATAATCTGTATATATGTACATATGGTGATCACCATTTCTGCTCTCCCCTGTATCCCTGTTATTGATGTAACATATCTTTATCTGAATATAAGCAGACCACATATTTGTAGTCTTGTTGCTGTGGCATATCTTCTCTGGATGAAAATGTCAATTGCCAGATAATGGAAATAAATACTTGTTTTGTTGGCATCTTCGTTTTTGTTGTAAGCCCATTTAATTTTCATTGACTTCTATTTATTTTAAGGACAAATTTTGAAAACCATCCTATTTACAAAAAAAAAAAAATCATCAATTCTGATCTATTCAAAAAAAATTGTCAAAACCAACCTAGTTTTAGCTAGACGATTGAAACTAGGTCGGTTTTGATAAAATATGTTCCGAAATTTTATGAGACTTTAATTTAAGTACCTTAAAGTTTTGTACGTACAACTTTACGGGATTTCAGACTTGAAGTCCCGTGAAGTTTTGGAAGATTTTTTTTTAAAATCGACTTAGTTTTAGCCCGACGGTTGAAATTGGGTTTGTTTTTACAAATATTTTATGAATAAATTGATGTTTATAATTATTTTTTCAAGTAGGATGGTTTTTAAAATTTGTCCTTATTTTAAACTTAAGAAGCGAGGCAGTTTACTGCCCTGTATTAATAGTTTTGTATTACATCAGATGGTTACCTTGAAACATTCAAGGATATTTTTGAGCAAATAGATGGAGAGTATCAAGTGTTTTTTTTTTAATGGAAGAAGTACATGATACTATTATCAGTGTGGATGCTGAAGAGAGAAGCATAATCTGCTAAAACATACGAATGTATCTTAATTCTCTTCAAAACAATGTATAATTCTCTTAGAGAGTTATTCAAATTTCTAACTATTTTACATGCCTATATAGAATTTAAGATTTACTAAGTGGTTGTTTCTCATTGTTGGATCTTAGTCATAGTTTATAATTTTTTGATTTTTAGGAAATTGTTTGTAATTTTTGGACTCATCAAGTGCTCATCATTCCCGGGATGTTATAGAACTCTCCCGGCTGGGCCCTTGGTCGATAGGTTCCTACTCGCAGCTCTTCTAGGACTGTATACGGGCCTTCTCAGTTGGGAGTTATCTTGCCTTTTCGAGTGTTTTTGTCGAAAGAAGCTTTGTGGAGGACGAGGTCGCCAGCGTTGAATCTTCTTAGTCGGATCTTGCTGTTGTAGTAGCAGGCGATTCGTTGCTGATTGGTGACTTGGGTTTAGAGTGATTTCTCTCGGGTCTCATCTAGGAGGTCGAGCCCCACCTGATGACCTACCGAGTTCAGGTCCTCATTGAAGTGTTGCAGTCGGATGATTGGTATGCCTACTTCTACTGGAGTGACTACCTCGGCGCTATAAGCTAGCTTGAATGGAGTCTCCCCGGTTGAGTTCTTATGGATCGTGCGGTACGACCAGAGGATACTAGACAACTCTTTAACCCAATTCCCTACTGCAGCATCCACCTTCTTCTTCAAGCTTGGATAATGCATTTGTTGGCAACCTCTGCAAGTCTGTTGGATTTGGGATGGGCGACTGAGGAGAACTTGAGGTGAATGTTGTATTCCTCACAAAAGATGCGGAAGCCTACGTTGTTGAACTGGATGTCATTGTCAGTCACGAAGGACCAAGGCGCACCAAAACAGCAAACAATGGACTTTCATACAAAATTTTTGATGTTACTCTCACCAATGTTGGCCAGTGGTTCGGCTTCATTCCATTTGGTGAAGTAGTCGATTGTCACAATAAGGAGCTTCATCTGTCCCGAAGCTAGGAGGAGAGAACCTAGCAAATCCATCCCCCATTAAGCAGAAGGTATGAGACTCAGGATGGAAGTTAGCTCATTAACCGCTGCTTGCGGGTTGAACGAGTAGAACTGGCACTTCTTGCACTGAGAGACAAGTCACTTTGACTCGGCCAATATAGTAGGGCAGTAGTACCCTTGCCGGATGACTTTCTGCGCGAGGGTTCGGGTCCCAAGATGGTTCCACATGTACCATCATGAATCTCCCTGAGCACGTAATTGGCCTTTGGCAGCTGAAGGCATTGCAGGTAGGGTCTTATACCACTGCTCGAGTATGACATCTGATAAACTATCCATCAATCATGAGATAGCGGCGGGAGTTCCTTTGGAGATGCCTGGCTTCAGCGGAATCTTCAAGCATGGTACCCTGTGTTAGGTAGAGGATAATAGGATCCAACCAACAGGGCATGATAGATGTCTCGGTCTCCATGATAGTCTCTGGTGACTTGGAGATGCTAGGTCGCTCGAGGGTGTCGGTGTAGACATGCCCTGAGCTGGTCCTTGAGCTTGTCGACCTAAGCTGGGAGAGGGCATCCGCTCGGGCATTAAGAGCGCTGAGGACTTGAGTTATCTTGAAGTCTAAGAAACTAGTCAAAATCTCCTTAGCAGCTTTGAGATATAATGTCATCCTTGGATCTTTAGCCGCATATCACCCATTGGCCTAATGGCCAACCAACTGCGACTCGGCCAAGATATAGAGACAATCCGCCTTGAATGCTTGTGACGCTCGAAGGCCAGCAAGAAGAGCCTTATATTCAGCTTCATTGTTCAAGACCGATAAATCAAAGAAATAGAGTGCTCGTGTGTCAACCCGTCGGGGCTGCACATGACCACTCCTCCTAGAAGTTGTGGGGCTGCCTAGCGCTTTCTTTAGAGGTAGAGTTGTCCGCACAATGATGACATGAGCCTAGAAGTAAGGGTAGAGTCTCCTTGTAGCGGTGATGAGGGCGAAGGCAACCTTCTCTATGAGGGGTAGTTGAGCTCGCCCGCTTTGAAGTTCCGCCTTACATAGTAAACGGGTTTCTGAATATTGCTCTCTTCTTGAACGAGGATAGAGCTGACGGCTTCGGAGGAGACGGTCATGTATAAGTACAATGTCTCTCCTCCTAGGGGCTGACTTAGCAGTGGCTTGGTACTCAAGTAGGCATTGAGAGCCTGAAAACCTGCACTGCATTCAGCCGTCCATGTCATGCTCTTTTTCAAGTTCTTGCTTCCTCTTAGGCTCTGTTTGGTTTGAAGGAAAGTAGAGGAAAGGAAAAGAAAGTACAATAGAAAGTATATTTTCCTTGTTTGGTTTGAAAGAAAATGAAAAGGAAAGTGAATGTTAAAATCAGCAGAGAAAGTCAGGTATATTTTCAGTTCCCTTCTCCTTTCCCGACTCAAACAGAGCAAAAATGAGAGAGAGGGAGAGAAAATCTCCCCCGACGCCTCCTTGGAATTCCCGACTCCATCCCCGACCTAGTCGACCTAGCTCAAGCTCGACCTCTAGCCTCCGATCTCTTCTTTCTCGAGCTCAAGCTCGGCCTCCACCTTCGATCACCTCTGGCCTCCGATCTTCTCTCCCTCGATCTCCACTTCTCGATCTCCAATCTCGTCTCCTGCCCCCCCGATCTCCACCTATCTCCGATCCCCAATCCTTAGATCAAGAGAAGGTAAGTTTAGATTCTAGGGTTTTTTTTTAATTACAATTATTCCATATTTTGATTTTCTAGGGTTTTAATTTTTGCAATTGATATGGGCTTTAACATCTAATTTCTAGCAGAACTTTTATTTTTAACAAAATTTACTAATTTTCTGCTCTTCCAAATTTAGCTTTTGTATTGTTTAGTAGCTTTGTCGTAATGGGAAATGGCAGAAATTTAGATTTTTTAATGTAAGTTATAATTTACTGCTAGCCAAAATTATTTGATTGATAGCTCATGGTGCTATTATAATTCATAGAATTTGCATGATAGAATTTGTCAGTTCTTTTACTCCATAGCTCTAATAGATTAATTTCTTCTAGTTTTATTCCCTCCATATCCTCAATATAGAAGTTTATATTCCTGCAAGAAATCAGTGTTCCCATTCTACATTTGATTGTGTAGAATAAAAATAGCAAGAATTTTTTTTTGTGTTTTTAATTTAGAGGAAAGTGAAAGATGTTGAACTGAAAGGGCACACAGATAGTGTGGATCAGTTGTGTTGGGATCCTAAGCACAATGACTTGATTGTAACTGTGGCAGGAGACAAGACGGTCTGTCAATAGGATGCTCGTAGTAAGTGTCCTCAAATCCTTTGACTTGCATTTTGATGCCGTTTATGGTGAAATATTAGCATGAATAATGAAAAAATTAAAGATTTTTGTACCTCAATTACATAGTTTATCTGACTGTTTTATTGTGATATATTCAACTAATTTAAATATATGTTGAAACAGCATAAAAGAGAATTAAGTAATGTATTTCTTAATGCTGGTCTGCAAAATGGTGTCCTGTTCAGAACTGTAGTGGATATGGTCAACCATACTTCATCAAAAATCACTGCAGAAGAGCACGAATCGGAGAGAAAAGAGTGCTTGGAGGCTGCAGGTGTTGGTGAAATGGAAATGCAAATAATGGTGAACAGATGGAGAATGGTGCTGATGATGAGGAGAAGGAAGATCTTCTTTCTGATGAGCAGTATGGTTATCCGAAGGCAGAATCAGATAAGTGGGCGTCTTGCATCAGAGTTCTCGATCCAAGGTCAGGAAACACTACTTGTTTGCTGGAGCTGCAGGACAATGAGGCTGCTTTTAGCGCATGTACTGTGAATTTTCATGATAAGGAGCATGGGACTCTACTTGCTGTGGGTACAGCAAAGGGGTTGCAGTTCTGGCCAAAGATGACTTTTGTTGCTGGGTTTATTCACATATACAGGTTTATAGAAGATGGAAAATCCCTTGAATTGCTGCATAAGACACAGGTAGAGGGAATTCCACTAGCCTTGTGTCAGTTTCAGGGAAGGCTTCTTGCTGGGATTGGCCCAGTTCTCAGATTGTATGATCTGGAGAAAAGGAGACTACTCAGGAAACGTGAGAACAAACTCTTCCCAAATACAATTATCTCTATTCAGACATACCGGAACAGGATTTATGTTGGTGACATCCAAGAGGTATGTGATACTACTTCTCCGTATGGTTCTTGATTCAGTATTTTAGTGTTCCTAAGAAGCTAAATTTGTTGAAAACTGATGCTTTCCCTTTCATATATTTCTTTACTAGTAAAAATTTCTTTTTTCTGCACTAAATGTCCCATGAATATTAGTTAGGCATGGCAAGCTTTGGGGTACAAGGTGGCAGGTCTTCTTCTATAATGTTATACGACCTTTAAACATGATTATTATGTGTATTGGTGTTTTCTTGTGCAAAATGTAATATCGATATTTTATGCTTCTAAATTATTCATAACTTGAAGCTCAATGCAAGAATTGTCAACTTTATTTATTTTCTTTCAGGATATTAGCGTGGAATGAAGCTGCCTTTAGTTTTGAGAAGATAACACATTTCACCTTGTCTTTTGTATTCTTCGATCTTTAGCCGCATATCACCCATTGGCCTAATGGCCAACCAACTGCGACTCGGCCAAGATATAGAGACAATCCGCCTTGAATGCTTGTGACGCTCGAAGGCCAGCAAGAAGAGCCTTATATTCAGCTTCATTGTTCAAGACCGATAAATCAAAGAAATAGAGTGCTCGTGTGTCAACCCGTCGGGGCTGCACATGACCACTCCTCCTAGAAGTTGTGGGGCTGCCTAGCGCTTTCTTTAGAGGTAGAGTTGTCCGCACAATGATGACATGAGCCTAGAAGTAAGGGTAGAGTCTCCTTGTAGCGGTGATGAGGGCGAAGGCAACCTTCTCTATGAGGGGTAGTTGAGCTCGCCCGCTTTGAAGTTCCGCCTTACATAGTAAACGGGTTTCTGAATATTGCTCTCTTCTTGAACGAGGATAGAGCTGACGGCTTCGGAGGAGACGGTCATGTATAAGTACAATGTCTCTCCTCCTAGGGGCTGACTTAGCAGTGGCTTGGTACTCAAGTAGGCATTGAGAGCCTGAAAACCTGCACTGCATTCAGCCGTCCATGTCATGCTCTTTTTCAAGTTCTTGCTTCCTCTTAGGCTCTGTTTGGTTTGAAGGAAAGTAGAGGAAAGGAAAAGAAAGTACAATAGAAAGTATATTTTCCTTGTTTGGTTTGAAAGAAAATGAAAAGGAAAGTGAATGTTAAAATCAGCAGAGAAAGTCAGGTATATTTTCAGTTCCCTTCTCCTTTCCCGACTCAAACAGAGCAAAAATGAGAGAGAGGGAGAGAAAATCTCCCCCGACGCCTCCTTGGAATTCCCGACTCCATCCCCGACCTAGTCGACCTAGCTCAAGCTCGACCTCTAGCCTCCGATCTCTTCTTTCTCGAGCTCAAGCTCGGCCTCCACCTTCGATCACCTCTGGCCTCCGATCTTCTCTCCCTCGATCTCCACTTCTCGATCTCCAATCTCGTCTCCTGCCCCCCCGATCTCCACCTATCTCCGATCCCCAATCCTTAGATCAAGAGAAGGTAAGTTTAGATTCTAGGGTTTTTTTTTAATTACAATTATTCCATATTTTGATTTTCTAGGGTTTTAATTTTTGCAATTGATATGGGCTTTAACATCTAATTTCTAGCAGAACTTTTATTTTTAACAAAATTTACTAATTTTCTGCTCTTCCAAATTTAGCTTTTGTATTGTTTAGTAGCTTTGTCGTAATGGGAAATGGCAGAAATTTAGATTTTTTAATGTAAGTTATAATTTACTGCTAGCCAAAATTATTTGATTGATAGCTCATGGTGCTATTATAATTCATAGAATTTGCATGATAGAATTTGTCAGTTCTTTTACTCCATAGCTCTAATAGATTAATTTCTTCTAGTTTTATTCCCTCCATATCCTCAATATAGAAGTTTATATTCCTGCAAGAAATCAGTGTTCCCATTCTACATTTGATTGTGTAGAATAAAAATAGCAAGAATTTTTTTTTGTGTTTTTAATTTAGAGGAAAGTGAAAGATGTTGAACTGAAAGGGCACACAGATAGTGTGGATCAGTTGTGTTGGGATCCTAAGCACAATGACTTGGTCGTAACTGCGGCAGGAGACAAGACGTTCCGTCTATAGGATGCTCGTAGTAAGTGTCCTCAAATCCTTTGACTTGCGTTTTGATGCCGTTTATGGTGAAATATTAGAATGAATATTGAAAAAATTAAAGATTTTTGTACCTCAATTGCACAGTCATCTGGTTGTTTTATTGTGATATATTCAACTAATTTAATATATGTTGAAACAACATAAAAGAGAATTATGTGGTTTACCCCTTTTCCATTAGAACTTTAAATCTCAATGGTAGTTGCTGTCGCATTAGCTCTAGTATTTTTCCTGTGTTTTTATAGAAAAAATTGCTTTTTTCTGGTGAACTATGGTTGGTCAGAATTTTGTTTTGCATGTTATGGGTGTTTTATGTTATGTATTTTATGTTGTATAATTGTTATGTAGTCTATGACTGAGTGGTAGCTTCATCCTACATCCTCCAACAAAAAAAAGGCGAGAACTTTTGCTACACCTAAAATTTGGATTTTGGCAGTTATCTTTGTAAAATAATGGGTTTAGGCAATATGTTCTATGATTCCACCATTTGAAGGACGGATCAGTGACTTCTCCATTTTGCTTAATTTTGAGGGGTATATAATACAGTGTCAAAATGCTTACAAATATCTTAATACTAATTACTAAACATTATCTCGTACGTATAAGTTTAACGTAAGAGAGCCTGCCTAACTAAAATAAGCACATCTGATATGGTCGTACATGACTTTGATATTGAACTTTTTGTAGTCTCAAAACATATGTAATAATAGAGTATATTGTTCCTACAATTGATAATTGTCTTATAAATAATGTTCCTGCTTAAGTTCTTTCATTTATGAATACCAACACAATAAATATAATTTTATGACTGCATATAAATGTATTACAAAAAATGCATATATAATCATGTAACAGTTTAACAATTACGAAGAATTGCTACCGGTATATTGTGTCTGTGTTGTAGCATGATACTTATGGTTGTTATTATAAGTAGTTAGAGAACACACAAATTTTAGTTTCTTTGAAATGTGCAAAAATAGGGCATGTTTCCTATGAGGCATCTTAGAAACTCAGTTACTCCTTGCATGAATGTAACTCTTTTAGTGCTTTTACTTTTCTGGAAATGCTATAGCTGCTAAAGAGACAGTTCAGTTTTATAATTACTTGTTTTTTAAAGGTTATTTGCTTACTAATATGTGGTTTCTAGGTGGAAAATGCTCTCAACAGGTTGAACTCAGTGGAGAAAATATCAACATCACTTTCAAACCTGATGGTACTCATCTAGCTGTTGGAAACAAGGTAAATAAAACAGATTTTATTTAAGGAGAATGTTTATTTAAAGACTTCTTTCCTTTATGGTCCTCTGACACATTCTGATAATGAGTTGAAGCAACACATGATAAACTCACGTCCAATACATGAATGCGAAAGCAATATCAAGCACATGATCATAACTATCAAACTTAAGCTATCTACTTCAGTTTGACACTTTGATTTCAATGATCACCATTCACTGGCCAGTCCCATTAAGGGCCAGATTCAAAAGCAGAATGCAATCTTTTCCTGCTCATCTATTGCAACTTCCATCCATGGAAGCTTAATTTATCCCTTCCTTTCCTGCTCTTTATACATAATTCACATCTAAAAAAGTGTGAAAACATTACTCCTTATATTCCATAACCTCACCAAATTAGTCTGAGGTAAACCCTTTTCTTGAAAGCTTCTGGACAATGAGTATAGTATCTGCAGACTTTTCTCTATTTGCTCATTCAGTTACTTAATAAGGTGTTATTGGATTTCCTCTACACTAATATGATGTATTTATTATAGCAATGTTCGAAGCCCTTGAGCGTTCGCTTTCAGACCAAGCTTTTTGGCCATCAGTACGCCCAAGCCATTGGCCTGAAAGCTTTTTGGCCATCAGTACGCCCAAGTCATTAGCAGCTTAATACCGTATTGTTTGTGCAGTTTATATAACACAACAATCAATTAGAATGCTGGAAAACCACGCGCGCATGCGCATGCGCACACACAAAGGAACATGGATATATACACACTAGTGGGTGTCAAAATGTAAAGAACATTTATGTTCAAGAAGTTGTTGCTGTTTTGTTTAGACCACATGCATGCAATGTTACTTATCCTAGCTCGTGTAAATGACCTCCACCAGGATCATTAATCCATTGATCATACCATCTCATCATATACTTAATCAACACAAAAAAAGGGAGGCAAGAAGAAGGCGTAAGTTTTTTAAATCACTGCTATCTTTGATTCGTCTTTCTTTATAAAATTGTTAAAATTTTTGTCACTATTGCATTGCGTTCTACAGTAAATTTTTTCTAGTTCTAAGTTTATTGTTTTGAAATTCTTTTCTCCCATACTAATTTATATACATATTTACATTAAGCATGCCTTCAAGTTATCTCTCCATTTGGAAGTATTCAGTAAATTTCACAAGATTAGAACACAAAGGCATATGTTTCTGGGACAAACTTAACATTACGATGATTAGTCACTTTCATCATTTATGATGATTAGTCTTAAGAAAAGAACCATGATACGACGAGTGGTAGTTTTATTTTGCTTCTAAAAAAATGTTAAGACTTCATTTTATAGGTTTTCGATGTTTATATTCTACTTATTTGAATTTTTTGAATTAATTTCAGGGGGTGAAGGATGCGAGATTGATGTTTTGATGGGCTCTCTCTCTCTCTGTGTGTGTGTGGGGGGGCTCTCTCTCTCTGGTTAAGATTCTCTATATGAAATTGATTGTAATAGACTTGTTGGTTAAGATCTTCTATATGAAATTGATTGTAATAGACTTTGTTGGTTAAGATTTTCTATATGAAATTGATTGTAATAGACTCCGTGACTAGAAATAGATTATACTTTATATTAGGAATATCTTGCCATTTACTTTAAATTTGTTTTGGTTCTTTCATTGACCATTCTTTCTGCAAATATTATGTGTGAGAAATGTTATTTTTTAATTAGTGGAATTGTGGTTGTGCTTCTGCTTGTTAATTATTTTCTGTAATTATCTAAAATCTAAATCTAAATTCCAAAAGGTATGAATTAAAATTAAGTTGTGATAATTGTCTTCCTCTTTTTCTCAGAAAGGTAACCAAACAAGAGAAAATGACTTTTTTATGAATTTTCTTCTAACTTTCCATACAATATTCTTTCTAACCAAACAATAAAAAGAATATCTTTTTTCTTTTCTTTTTCTTTTCCTTTCTTTTTTTACTTTCTCTTTCTTTTTCTTTTCTCCCTCCTTCTCTCAAACCAAACATAGCCTTAGAGTTTTAAAGAATGAGAGACTCCTCTTAGTAGATTTGGAGATGAATCATCGTCGAGCTACTATCTTTTTGTTCAGCTTCTGGATATCTTTCAAGGTGCACGGTTCGGACAGTCGCTCAATGGTGGCTATCTTCTTGGGGTTGATCTTTTTGCCTCTCTGTGTGATCAACCACATGAATTATCCTGATTGCATCCTAACAGAACATTTGAAAAAATTAAGCTTCATTCGGTAGTGCCAGAGAATAGATAAGGTCTCGTCCAAGTCTAATATGTGAGTTGGCGATTACTTCGACTTCACCAGCAAGTCGTCCACATAAGCTTTCAGATTGCGGACGATTTGGTGCTAGAAGACCTTATTGACAAGTCTCTGGTATGTGGCCTCGAATGGCATCAACTTGTAGCAATATGTCCCCAAGTCAATGATAAAGGAAGTCTTCTCCTGATCATGCTCTACCATGAAGATCTGGTTGTAGCCAGAGAAAGCGTCCATGAAGCTGACCAGCTCATATAAGGCACTCTCGTCAACCAGTTGATCGATTCGAGGTAGTGGGTAGTTGTCCTTGGGACAAGCTTTGTTGAGGTTGGTGAAGTCCACGCACATCCTCCATTTGTTTAGCGCCTTCTTCAACAATACTACATTAGCCAGCCACTCTGGATATTGGACTTTCCGGATGAAACCAACTCTAAGGAGCCTATTGACTTCGTCGGCAACTACTTTCTACCACTCTGCGCCGAGATGTCTCTTCTTTTATCACACAGACTTAGAATGCCTGTCGACAGCCAGCTCGTGGCTGATCACTTCGGGGGGAACCCCAGCATGTCCTCAGGACCCAAGGCGAACACATCAACGTTTGCCTGCAAGAACTCTATCAATGCTCCTCGCAAAGGCTCGGCTAGGCTGGACCCAATCTTGATCGCCTTCAATCCTCATCGATTGATTGATATCTCCTGAAGCTCTCCCACCGATGTCGTTGTAGACTGTCTAAAAATTACTACGGATAGCTGATTCCCATAAAACACTAACGATGAGAGTTATAATCACAACTTTCACATCGACTGATGAAAGTTACAATCTAACGCCTTTTATGACAATAGATGATGAAAATTATAATCTGACGACTTCCACATCAACAAATGAAAGTTAGAATCTGGCGACTTCCACATCAACAGATGAAGATTACGATCTGACGACCTTCACAACAGCATATGAGACTTACAAGTTGACGACTCTCATATTTCAAGGAGCCGAATACAAGGATTACAAGATGATGATCCTTACAACACTAAAAAAAGAGATTACAAATGGACAATCTCTTCAAACCAAAATGTGAGGGTTATCCCCGCATTTCAAGTTCAAAACGAGAAGCTCACCTTCGCGTTTCAAGTTCAAAACGTGGAGCTCACTACCGCGTTCTAAGTTCAAAACGTGGAGCTCACCTCCTGTTTCAAGATCAAAACGCGGAGCTCACTACCATGTTCCAAGCTTCAAACGTGAAGCTCAGTTTCGCGTTTCATCAGTTAGACGCGAAGGTCATTTTCAGAATGCGAACCACGCGTTTGACCTATTCAAACACGTTTTAAACGGTTCCAAAACGGTTTTGCACGTATTAAGAACATTAAACCCTCATTAAGGAGTGATTTAAGGGGTCGGTTACACCCCTTAAACCCCTATAAATAGCTAAAAAGTCAGCTACAAAAGGATCCTTTTGAATCATCTTGGAGGTCGACACTCTTTGGAGCTTTGGTGAAGGCTTTTGTTGATGCTTTGGAGTAATTTGCCTTGGCTTTTTGAACCGTGTTTTGGTTGAAGAATTTGGAGATTGGTTACTGAATTGTTTTCAGTTAAAAAGGATTAATTTTGTTTCTAAAATAAACTCTTTCACAGAGTTCATAAACTCTTTTAGAGTTCTAAACTTACCTTGCAAGTTCTTCCCGACGTCAAGGTCAAGAGGAATAGACGAACGTTCCACGAAGCGAGGTGCTCGGATCATCAATGGGATACAAGAATCAAACTCTCATCGCCACCAAGAAGAACACAACTTTAAACAAAGGGGAAAGTCTTCGTCGACCTTTCTCTCTTTTGTAAACCAGAAAACCGATAAGAGAAATTATAATTTCTTTTTCTAAGTCAGTTAGATAGAAATTACTGTGAGAGATTGTATTTATTCTTTTCCTTAGTCAGTTAGAGAGATTAATACAAATTCATTTCCTCTCATTTCTTCTTTAAATTTTTTTGACAAACAAAAGATGGTGATTTCGCTGGGGATTAACTTTTTCACTGATCAAGAAGTGGTGGTGCAATCCGACACCAAACTCACTGGAACAATGATCGAAACTCTTACTGTGGAATTTGACCAAGAGAAATATGAGGAGTTCCTCTCCTCCGGATTCCTTAGCCCTAAGGCTATGTGCAAGATCCGCAAAGTCTCCAAGGAGACTAAGGTACCTCATACCACCAACCAATGCAAACTTCGTGTTTGTGAGCCTCAACACGACCCTGAGCTCCACGTTTCTACTTTAGAACGCGAGCCTCACGTTTATATACCCAAACACTACCCTCGCGAAAGCCAGGCTAAACGCGACCCTTAATGGCGTGTTCCACGGACAAAACGCGGACCTCGAGTCGGTGTTGAACGTGAACTTGAGCTTCGTGTTACTCAATCAAAATGCTAACCTCACATTCAGAAGGGGGTTACACGCAACCCTCACGTCCCCACTCTCAAACGTGACCCTTGCGTTCAGTTGCTCAAACACGACCCTCACGTTTAGTTGCCCAAACGCGACCGTGTTCATTTGCCCAAACGCGACCCTCGTGTTCAGTTGTCCAAACAACAGATTTAGGCCCAAGTAATAAAACCCAATACATAACCTAATATATACTATAGACCTTCGAAGTGCTTCCCCGAACCCCATCGGGGGGTCGTCTACTCCCCCCCAGACCCCCCCAGCTAGGGGTGTGCCGCCCCCTGGAACCCCGACTCACTAACCAAGCAGCGAGACCCCCGTACTTAGTTATTCGTAAAGGGACTAGACTGATGGACGGACATAAGAAGTCTACGGATTCAAGGCATCTTAACAAAATTCATGTTTATCAGGAGCATGTCTCGTCTAATGGTAGATAGGTGGTTCCAATTCAAACCTCATGTTCAGTGAGAAATTCTTCTCAAGTCTCTGACTTAAGGGAGATCATACCGAGAGAACGACCGGTACAACAAGTCACTCCCACTTGTTAACGTGAGAGACTTATTTCTGCAGTCCTCTCGGAATGCCAATGTTGTGCATCCACACCAAGATAGTCGGTGTTCGACCAATTAACAAACGTTACCCTGCCAAACAAGCGATGATGTTCTCACAAGAAAAGAACCTCAGAGGATGAATACCTAGGAGTTACCATTAATATGATTGGTAGAGGGAGGTCATCAATTCCTAGCTATGATGAGTCAGAGATGAACCAGTCTCCTTGTGTCAACGAGATCCTGAGTGAATTTGAGGGAATCTATCAAAACACTGGGACTCGAAAGGGAGTCATACCTCATGTCGATTATTGAAGGTTGAATAAAGGAATTGAGTCTGATGATGAACATTCAAACAGAGTCTCAGTCCTCAACTTCTTTTGTAGAACATGAGAGCTCCTCCTATATGGCAGGAAACCCTAAATATCTCATGAAGAGACTTGATGAGCAGCAGGCCATGCTCAAAGCATAACAGAAGACCATCAATGAACTCCGGATCTTAATGGTCCAAATTGTTGCGGACAAGGCCAAGTCTCAAAAGGTAGACTCTCCGCCTCGGCACGAATCCTCCCGAAGAGTAGTGTCATCTTCATCAGGGGGGGGGGGGGGGAAGTGAACGAGACTTCGGATCAAGAAGCTCACCATATAGAATCTTCCTCTAAAGATGGGAAAAAAAGCCAAGAATGAGTAGAATCCTTGGTCAGCTAAGATGGAAGAACTTGAAGTCCGCCTCAATGTAATTGCTAACAGAAGCGAGCTCCAAGAAGAGGGAGTTATGAGGCCTTACCCCGTCGAATGGGATGCAACTTCTTATCCTCCGAAATTCAAAGTCCCGACTATATAAGCTTTCGACGGCACGGGATGACTGAATAGACACATCTATTATTTTAAGTCACAGACTTCAAAATATAGTAGCAAATGATGCAGTACTGACTCGATTGTTCATTGGTACCCTCAAGGGAGTTGCCTTTGAATGGTTCATGAAACTATCTGCGGAATGTATCCAGAAGTGGGCGGATCTAGAGAGACTCTTCCTGTTAAGATTCTTCAAAGACGATACAGAAGTCTCTGTCACTACCCTTCTTGCCACTAAGTAGAAAAAGGGAGAGTCCATCAAAGCCTTCGTTGAGAGATTCTGAAGCATGGCTCTTCGATGCCCGACAAGTATGACACAATCTACTCTGGTGGAAACTTGTCGA